GGGGAGGAGAGGGGCGGTTCGGATTCCGAGCTGTGTTCTTGTAAATATGAGCGGATAAGAAGCAGTATTGCACTTCTGAGGCAAAACGTAAGGCAGTAACTCGAAGGACCTGGACCACTGTTGCAGCGCGAGGCGCAGGCCCCGGCAGCACCGTGGGGCCTCTTCTGTCCTGGCAGCCTTCTAGATGCAGCCCCCGGGCCCGTGATGGCACGGGAGCCCAGCTCTGCTCAGCACTGCGCGCTGTGGCTGGGCCGGCGGGCACTTCCACAGCTCCCTGAGTCCATGGCGCTGCCAGAGGGTGCATGTTCCAGTCCAGGCAGACTCCTGCTCACAGGAGCCTGGCTGAGTGAGGAGGAGGCAGCAAGGAGCGGCGGCTCGCGCTCTGCAGCGTGGGCGGTCATGCACGCAGCTGACTGTTGTGGTCAAGCCAAGCAGGCTTTTGCCTTTTGTACTCCAGCTGGCACCAGAAACCACGCAGGAGCCTTCCTTGAAGAAGCACAGGCAAATCCTGGCAGTGAGGAGCCAGGACGGGGCTGTGGGTTTGTGCCTGGCAGGAGCTGACTGGCTCAGGGCAATCACAGCACCCCAAAGGATATTCCCCTTGTGGCTGGAAAGCAAACTTCCTTCTCCCCTCGGGTGGTGGATCAGGGCTGGATTACTGTTAATGACAGCTGTGAGGGCTCAGATCAGCCCGTTGTGTTGGTGGTGGGTGTTTGTGTTGACTTTGTTAACAAAGTGCCCTGTTGGCATTTCCTTTTGCGGTCGCCCTGTGCTTGCATTTGAGCTGCAGCACTTGTAAGCCAAAAGTTCTGAGTCAGTGGAGGGGGATCCTGTTTTTTGGAACTATGCAGAGTTTTCTAACAGTGCAATAAAAGCATTTGTTCTATGTTAGAATGAAAAAGCTCCTTCCATGTCTTTATTTCACCCTAGGGTTCTGCCTGAAGGTTCCCCCTGTACAGAACGTGTTGTTATTAGCAGAGCTGCCTTAAAGGTGGCTCCACCGTCCTGTCAGGGGATGTTTCCCCAGTATTTAGGAGTACAATGCTCACGTGGGAGTATCTTGCTCTCTCCTGGTGAGTTTATGAGAGGTAGAACTGCTGTTAGCCACAGGCACTCTGGCTGCCAGTGTCCCAGCAGCGACCCATGCCTCCTCAGGGGCCGGGGTGCTGCAGTGCCTGCGTGCTGCTCTTGCAGCTTGTTTCCCCCGTTGTTGTGACAGCAGTGGGATGAGGCCTGCAGCTCACTGCTCGGGGTGCTTGGCCTTCGATGAATGGAAGCACGGGGCTCTTGAACAGAGCCCCCAGGCCATCAGCCACCCGGGGCATGCTACCTCCTCCCAGCCAGCACTTGGCATTGCCAGGCGGCTTTTGTGCACGTGGAAGCAGTAGGATGTGGTTTGGGAAGAGGAGAGCCTGTTTGTTCTTTCTCGTGAAACAGCGGCTTTGCCCTGTTCTTTGTGTTGCTGCCAGAAGCTGAAATGCCCAGCCCGTGCCCACAGCCTGCCTCAAGGAACCAACAGAGAGTGTCAGGAGTACAGAGAGGTGCTGGGGACGTCACGGTGTTTGGACTGGGCTGGACAGCAGGAGAGTTCCCAGGCTGGAAGCCTTTGCTCACTGTCCTGTCCTCCCATTTCCCAAGGGAATTACAGCCAAAACAGCCTCTTTGTGCTCCCTGGGTCGGTCAGCCGTCCTAGGGAGCTGGCAGGGGCTGCAGCTCCTTGGAGGGTGATGGCCAGGACCACTGCCCCTCAGTTCTACCTTGTTTGATTCTCTTTCAGAAGGACTGAGCACCTGCCTCTTCCACTTCACTCTCAGCAGCACCAGCTCTGCCCCCGGTCCTGCAGCATCAGAACTCCCCGGGATCATCACTGCTCCCTTTCCTTGCCCATCCGCTCCTTCCTCTCCTCCAGCTGAGCAAAGTGCAGGTTTCAAAATGGGACTTAGAGGGAGTGGACTTTGCTTCCCCCAGGAATGCCGCTGTCGGCCGGGCCTTCCTTGAGATGGGTCACGCGCCCACGGCTTTGAGCCTGCAGGGATTAAACCAGCGCTGAACTCCCTTTCCAACCAGTGCCGTGGCAGCGGGCAGGCCCCTGTCAGGACTCCGGGTGCTAATCCAGCCTGATGGTCCATGCTCTTGCTCACAGAGGTGTGTAATCAGCCTTTATTTTTACAGCTGAATCAGGAAAATGTGGAAGGAACAGTTGAGACCAGCAGAAACCCTTTCTTGCCTCTTGTGCACAGGTAAATGATGCAGTCAAGGAACTTTTGACACAAAGGTCTGTGGCACTTATCGGCTTTATCATCTTAGCCATGAGAAGATGAGGCTCCTGCAGGGCACGCGGTCACTGCCATCCCACCTTTGCAGCAGGGGCAGAACTTGGTGCTGCCTTGTCTCTCATTTTCCTCCTTCCCCCTTGTTTTCCATTTTTCTCTCTTTTCCTTCAATCTTTTCTGAACCGACCAAACCACAGCTGCAGCAGCAGTGCTGCCCCTTGCAGCTCCCACCCTGCATCCCACCTCTCCAAGATACAGCTGCATGTTCAGAGCACAGACACACTGCCAACGGACAAGATAATTTATTGCAAATACATCAGAGCAACACAGACATGCAAGGACAGAGCTGCTGCACTGGGGCACAGCATTAGCCACGACAGACTTGGCTATGGGGGACTCGCCAGGGATGCCAACAGTGTCACCCATCAGTGATGGTACCACGGTGTCACCAGCAGTACAAAGTGCTGCCTGCTGCTTGTTGCCTTCCCACACTTGCTTGGTGAGTGCTGCAGGGAAATCTGCTGCTCCTTAACAGAGAAAAAGTGAAGCAGACACGCAGAGGAAGGAGAGAAACCTGCAGAGCTGCCGTAGCAATTAGCGAATCATCCTGTGAAACAAGCAGGAGCCCTCCCTGCCAGGGGAAGAGCCACGAGGTGCACAGGGCACCCTGAGGCACTAGATGACCAAGTCTGCGTTTTTGGGGTGCAGGGGGTGGCCCCCAGCCAGCCCTCGTGCAGCGGGGGCCTGGCGGCCGGCGGGGGCCAGCGGCGTTGCGGTGCTCGTGGAGCGGGCGCTGCAGGCAAGGAGCAGTCCTCCAGCGGCCAGGAAGGCTCCAGCAAACCACCCCAGGAAGGTGGCCTCCCCAAACTCCCACCTGGGGACGATGTCGGGGACAGTCTCGTCCCAGAAGTCGAGGACGGTGTCGTAGGCGACCCAGGAGACCGGCACCAGCGTGGTGATCCCTGCCATGCCAAGCGTCGCTCCCCCGCCAAGCAGGAGCTGCCGCTTTCGCCCAGGTTTGTCCTCGCAGGTTCTCCAGCCCTCCAGCCCCAGGGCAGCGAGGAGACAGCCCAGCAGCCCCAGCCCGTTGGACAGGCACATCAGGAGGCGAGAGATGCGCAGCTCGGGGGGCAGCGCCAGGAAGGAGCCGTGGGCTTGGCATTCAACCACCCCCTCCTCCTGGGTGATGCAGACCTGCCAGAGCCCCATGTTCCAGACCTCCAGCTCGTTCAGGTCCAGGTTGAGGTTCTTCCAGAGTGGCACGAAGGTGGTGACGCAGGAGCTGATCCAGCCGAGGACAGCCAGCAGCATCCCCCCTCCCTGCGCCTTTGCCCAGCAGCCCCCGGCCATGCCGCCGCCGCCGCGCTGACCGCCGCGCCCCGATCAGCCGCCCGAGCGGCGGCCGCGGGCATTAACGCTTGTGCGGCAGCGTCCGCCCGGCCGCCGGCCGCGTCTGCCGCCCGGGGGGGCGAATTCAAGCCTGTTCCTCCAACGCCGGGGTGTGGCCACGGTCGTTTTTCAGCTCTTGTTGGTTTTTCCACGCTAAAAGGAGAGCCCGGCTCAGCAGGAAAAGCCGGGTGCATCCCGCGGTAACTCCGAGCAGGGTCCCGCCGCTGCCTCGCCGTGCCCAGGAGGGTTAAGCCAAAGCACGCAAATCCTCCGAGCCTTGGCCACCCCGGAGCGAGGGCCTTGGCAGGGAGAGCGATTCTCGGCAGCAGCAGCAGGTCCAGCCTCGGTGGGGCACGGCTGGCACCGCAGCGCGAGATGCGGGCAGCAGAGAGCCGGCATCGGGCTTTTCCCGGGAGTCAGAGCCTCGGTTGGAGGCCTTGATCCTCATTCGGTCATTAATTAAATATGCAAAGGAGCCTTTGAGGGCTGCCTTGAGAATGGGGATGTCCAAGGGAGGCAGCAGGTTTCAGGTGGGCCCTTCTCGCAGGTGGGCATTGATCCCCCTGTCCTGCACCCAGCACTTCACCAGCAGATGACACTCATGGTGCTCGTGTGTCCTGATAGGAAACACCCTGATGCAGCTGGGGAAAACCCATGTACATCAGCTTGGTCCGGTGGAAGGCGTTCCTGTGGCAGGGGGTTGGAGCTGGACTGCTCTTTAAGACCCTCTCCAACCCAAGCCGTTCTATGAAAAGGATGAAGAGAAGGAAAATCCCAAGTTTGTGCTGGCACTCAGCTCCCATCCTCCCCCACGTGCATTGCCTCCGCGGGGTCCAGCTTGCAGATTCATCTTCCCTGGGAGATTAGCGACTAATCTCTCCTTCATCCGCCGTCTTTCTTATCTGTATCGGGAGCCAGACTGGAAATTACTGAGTCCTGCTGGTCCCGGGGTCCAGCCCTGGTGAGTGTCAGGAGGATCTTTGCAGGGGGCTCCCACAGGGAGGGGCCGAGGCAGCACCGACCACGTTCAACGTGGAAGCACAGACCAGGCAGGAGAAAGGGGATGTTTTCCAGCCCTTGCTGACCATCCCGTTCCTAAGACCAGACAGGGAGCATCATCCCGAGGGCAAGAGCAGGGAAATCCGCTGGGAAACCCCTCCTGCTCCTTCCCCCGGGCATTGGGGCACCTGCTTCTTCCGATTAAATCGTCTCAAGGTAATTGTGCCTGTCATTGAGACAGATTAACGGGTGACCTTCTGCCGCTGGAGCAGGATTGGCGGCCGCCGCCGAGCTCCCAGTCCTTCTTTCCCTCCCACCGGCCACGGTGGCACGGCCGGGCAGAGGATTCCCGTCCGCAACCGGTGGGAAGATGCCCGGCAGTGGCCGGGGCGCAGCGGGAGCCACCAGCCGAGAACGACGTCTGCCGGGCTGGCAGCCGCTCTGCCTGGACATGAGGTGGGTGTCTCCCGCGCCCTGGGGTCTGGGGAGCCGGGAGCTTGGTCCGGAGGGTGACATCCTCCCTCCATCGTCGCACTGAGGCCGCTGGTCCCGCTGCTCTGCAGCGGCAGAGGATGCTCGACGGAGGCAGAGCGCCAGCGCTCCCACCCCATCCCGCCCCATCCCACCCCATCCCCGCGGGTCGCTGCGCTCCGGGTTGCGTTTCCAGGACCATCATCTCCCACCGCGTCTCCCCTTGGGCACCGGCTGGACTCAGCCTGTCCCGAGGAGCCCGGCGGTGGGGTCTGCATCTCTCTCGCAGGCTGTCCTTCCTCCGCGCCTAGAGGCCATCCATTTCTGCTCGGAGCTTCTTAGAGACCCGGCAGCTACCGCCACGGCCTGGAACACCCGCGGAACAGTGCCTTAGGGGCTCACCCGGAGCTTGCCAGCTGCCGGGGCTGCTTCCCACCGGAGACGAATACCTCCTTCCCCGGCCTTGCAGAGCAATTCCGGCCCTTAATGGGCTTAGCCATCTGGAGCCAGCCCGCAGGCACGCCGGCACAGCTCCGGAGCTGGGACACGCGATGCTGGGCAAGGGGGGACCCCCAGACCCCCCGGCCCCTGGGGACGCGGAGCGGGGCCGGAGCCCCAGGCTGCTTTCCGTGTCCCGAGTAACTCCCGCTTTGTCTCCCCGTGGCAGGAGCTGGCTCGCAGCCCGGGGCTGAGCCGCGGCCCCGGCGCTGCCATGGTGCTCCCCTACGCCCGCAACAGCGGCGGCGCCGGCGGCTGGCTGCCCCCCGAGGAGCCCCGCGGCCGCAGCAACTCCATCCCCCCGGCGCAGACCCCCACGGCCAAGCACATGCTGGCCTACCTGCCCCGGCCGCCCACCGACACCAGCCGCTACGGCACCTTCCCGCAGAAGGTACGGCTCGCCCCGGGGCATCCCCGGCGCACGGTGCCGCGCGGGGCTCGCGGTTGATGTCCGAGGCGATTTCTCACCCACGGGCTCCTTTCCCCCCCGCAGCCCGATCTCCCGGCCGCCCCCGGGGCTCTCGGGGAGGACGGCGAGCAGAAATCCGCCGCCACCACTGCCAAGAGAGGCGCCGCGATGCCAAACTACCCATCTGCACCCCGCCACAGCGGCTTCGTCCCCGGGGAGCCGTCCCTGCCGCCGAGCCGCGGGAGCCTGAGCGCCCAGCAGCCCCGTGGCCGGCCGTCCTGGTGCCCACCGCCCGCCCCACCGGAGGCAGCCCCCCGCTTCTATCCGCTGCACGCCCTGAGCGTGGCCAACATCCCCAACTCGTCCCGTGGCAAGAGCTCGGCCCGCAGCTCCACCATCCCCACCCCGGAGGGGCTGCAGAGCCGGCGCTGCAAGCTGCTGGAGGAGGACAGCCCCGCCGTCCAGGCCGGCAAGCGGCAGCGGCAGCGCTACGTGACTAAAGTGGGCAAGTGCCAGGTGAATCTGGGCAACATCCAGGACAAGAAGAGGTTCCTCTCGGACATCTTCACCACCATCGTAGACCTCAAGTACCGCTGGTTCCTCTTCGTCTTCATGATGTGCTACGTGGTCACCTGGGTGGTATTTGGCTCCATCTACTTCCTGGACGCCTGGCTGCGCGGCGACGTGGGGCACCAGGGCGATCCCGAGTGGCAGGCGTGCATCGAGAACGTGGACAGCTTTGTGTCCGCCCTGCTGCTCTCGGTGGAGAGCCAGCGCACCATCGGCTACGGCACGCGGATGGTGACGGCCAACTGCGCCGAGGGCGTCATCCTGCTGATCGCGCAGTCCATCGTCGGCTCCATGATCGACGCCATGATGGTCGGCTGCATGTTCGTCAAGATCTCCCGGCCCAAGAAGCGCGCCCAGACCCTCATCTTCAGCAAGAACTGCGTCATCTCCCTCCGGGACGAGAAGCTCTGCCTGATGTTCCGTGTGGGGGACCTGCGGGAAAGCCACATGGTGGATGCCAAGATCCGGGCAAAGCTGATCAAGTCCCGTCAGACGGCCGAGGGGGAGTTCATCCCCCTGGAGCAGTCGGAGCTGAACCTGGGCTACGACACGGGGGAGGACCGCCTGTTCCTGGTGGAGCCCCAGATCATCTGCCACGTCATCAACCGTCACAGCCCTTTCTGGGACATGTCGGCCGAGTCGCTGCGCCGGGAGCAGTTCGAAATCATCATCATCCTCGAGGGCATCGTGGAAGCCACAGGCAAGTGTTCTCGGGGAGTCAGGGTGGAGAAGGGGGGCTCCCCTGGGCTCCTGGAGATGCTGGGCAAACCTGGGCCCAGGAGTGGCATCTGAGCAAGAGGGGCTCGGGGTCAAAGCCGTCCCCAGTGGGCCACGGGTGGTGGGGCTGGAAGCCCCCCGTGGGAAGCGGGGGCTCCTCGTGGCACCCGGCACAGCTCGGCCCCTTCCCCCCGCAGGAATGACGTGCCAAGCCCGCACCTCCTACACGGAGGACGAGATCCTCTGGGGATACCGCTTCGAGCCCTGCATGTCCCTGGAGAAAGGCGCCTTCCAGGTGGACTACAGCCGCTTCGAGATGACCTTCGAGGTGCAGACGCCCGCGGGCAGCGCCAAGGAGCTGCAGGAGCTGAAGGAGCTGGAGCAGCAGGAGCACTCCACGCTCAGCCTCTGCTGGGACCACCTGGTGCAGCCGTGCGCGCTGCCGGGGCCCGGCGAGGACGGCAGCGCCCTGCCGGAGCCGCCGCTGCCCCCGCCAACAGTGCCATAGCCCACCCTGCCGGGGCTGAGCCCTCGCCCCCCGTTCCCCGCTGCAGCCGCAGGGCGCTCGTTTTGTTAAGCCGTTCTTTTGTAACAAGGAAAATGAGGTGTAATCAGTGGGAGAGTAAAGGCTGTTCGTGACAAAACCACCCCAGCCGCGTTTATTCTGGGGGGACCCTCGGGGGGCACGGCAGAGCCCAGAGCCCCCCAGTGCCGTGGGCTCGGTCCCTGTCCCATGGAGCCTGACACAGCCCCGTGCCCCCCAGCACCCCAAGGTGGGCCCCGGGACTCCCCAGCAGGGAAATGTTGCACCGGGCTGGTGCTGCGAGAGGCCGGACACGGTGACGTGGAATTAAATTAATAATGCTGCAGGAATGACACCCTGCAGTCACCTGCAGCACTTGGCAGTGCCTGGGCCTGAGCCGGGGCCTGGACTGAAAAAACATCAATGAAATCTGTGTGTGCAGGCTCCAGCTGGAGCCTCCCTGTGCTCCCCAGTCAGCTTTGCCTCAGGGGTTGCAGAATAACCCCTTGGATTTAACCCCTTTTGTCCACCTTTGCTTTTCCTCCATCTCCCCACAGAGCCTTGGGCAAGGAATCTTCTGACCTCAGCTCACCTCTGTGCTGCGATGGAGCAGCTGGAGGCCCCGGGCCGAGGCACAGCAGGGATGCATGGGCTGTAATGTAAACATATATGAAATACCAACATGTACATCAGTGTCCCCACGCACACCCTGCAGCCCCACATCCCCAGCAAACACAAGACTCCCTGCACGAGAAAAAGTTAAAAAAAAGAGCTGCAAACAAGTGTTTGTAGGTGCAAAGTTAATAAGGGTCAGTAGGCACGTTGAGTCGATATAAAATCACGATTTGCCTATTAAGGAGTTGATTTACATGTCGTTAATATTCGAATGCAGGCCACTGGGTGAATAACAAACACAAACTCGGTTATCACACACACGGTCACGTTTCACAGCACGGGACACGCCCGGGTCCCGCCGGGCCGGCCCGGATTCCTGTCCCTGTCCCATCCCTGTCCCTGTCCCCATCCCATTCCTGTCCCTGTCCCATCCCTGTCCCTGTCCCATTCCTGTCCCTGTCCCCATCCCATTCCCTGTCCCATTCCCATTCCCTGTCCCTGTGTCTATCCCATTCCCATTCCTGTTCCCATTCCCAGTCCTGTCCCTGTCTCTCCCGTTCCCGTTCCCATTCTCATTCCCTGTCCCATTCCCGTTCCCGTGCCCGTTCCCTGTCCCGTTCCCATTCCCGTGCCCGTTCCCTGTCCCGTTCCCGTTCCCTGTCCCGTGCCCGTTCCCTGTCCCGTGCCCGTTTCCTGTCCCGTTCCCGTTCCCTGTCCCATTCCCATTCCCGTGCCCGTTCCCTGTCCCGTTCCCGTACCCGTTCCCTGTCCCATTCCCGTACCCGTTCCCTGTCCCGTTCCCGTGCCCGTTCTCATTCTCATTCCCTGCGTTCCCCATCCCGGTCGCCAGGAGTCGCTGCCGCCGCTCCCGCCCGTTCTCCCTAAGTCCCGCCTCCCGAGCTTCACTTCCGGCGCGTCGCAGTGACGTCAATTGCTGTGCGACGTGGTGACGCGCAGAGCTCTCCGGCGGCGGCCGAGGTGGGACCGGAGCGGGAGCGGGCTGGCCCTGGGACGGCACGGGAGCGGGAGCGGGGTGGGACGGGACCGGGCTGGTCCCGGAGCGGGAGCGGGGTGGGATCGGGACGGCACGGGAGCGGGAGCGGGGTGGGACCGGACCGGGCTGGCCCCGGAGCGGGAGCGGGGTGGGATCGGGAGCGGGCTGGTCCCGGAGCGGGGCGGGAGTGGGCCGGCCCCGGAGCGGGAGCGGGGTGGGACCGGGACGGCACGGGAGCGGGACCGGGCCGACCCCGGAGCGGGAGCGGGCTGGCACGGGAACGCCCGCGCCGAGCGGGACGAGCCCGCCGTGCCCGAGGGGCAGCGGGCCGGGGCGCTGACCGCCGCCCTCCCGCAGCCTTGCCCCGGCTCACCCGTATGGCGCGGCCCTGAGGGGAGATGACCGACCAGGAGAACAACAACAGCATCTCCAGCAACCCCTTCGCCGCCCTCTTCGGCTCCGTCGCTGCCGCCAAGCACTTCGCCGCCGTCCAGAAGCAGCAGCAGCTGCGGCAGCTGACAGGTGGGCAGGCCGCGGGCGGGCCGGGGCAGGGCCGGGCCGGGGAGGCGAGGCGCTCCGCGTGGACAGGGCTGTCCCCCGGACGCTGAGGGCTCTGTCGCGCAGGCGAGGAGACGTCCATCAGCCAGGATGACTCCGACAACAGCGTCTCCGAGAGCCTGGACGACTGCGACTACTCGGTGGCCGAGATCAGCCGCTCGTTCCGCTCGCAGCGAGAGCTCTGCGAGCAGCTCAACATCAACCACATGATCCAGAGGATCTTCCTCATCACCCTGGACAACAGTGAGCCCGGGAACCCCGGGATGGCGGGGGCAGCTCCGTGTGTCTGTGTGGGAGGGGACAGTGCTGGGGACAGTCCTGCCTGCAGCTGGAACACGTCCCTCTGCCCTTCCCAGGTGACCCCAGCATGAAGAGTGGGAATGGGATCCCAGCACGCTGTGTCTACCTGGAGGAGATGGCTGCAGACCTGGATGAGCAGGACTGGCTGGACATGGACAATGTGGAGCAGGTAGGGACGCCTGCCTGGGGCCACCTGCAGATTTTGGCCGCCAGATTGAGTTTGTTTCCTGAGAATGTACATGTGATGTATCTCAAATCCTTTGCCAAAACCTGGCATGAAGTTGCTACTTATTGTTTTGCTGTAAAAGTCCGTGAGATTTTTGGGGTATGAGACTGAGAAAAACGTAGAATTTGGGGAATCCAGCCCTTCCTCCTGGAAGCTGCAGGAGTTTGCTGCCCTGCAGGTCTGTGTGGGTGGGAAAGGGAAGAAAAACCAGAGAACTCAGTGTCCATGCACACTCTCATCTTCATTTGCAGCTGTATCAGTCATTCCTGCTGAGCATTTCAGTGGAAATGGTTTCTGCTGGGGGTCCTGTTGTTCCACGGGGGGCTGGAGGATTTGCTCAGGCCAGCAGCAGCTGCGGGTTCTCACTGCAGCACTCTGTTCCCTAGTGAGGGATAGGGAGAGCCTTTCCCAGCAGGAATCAGTCCAATCAGCCCGTGTGCTGTGGAGCTTCCTCCTCTGCAGGGCTGACCTGTGCTGGGCCGTGTCGCTGGGCTGTGTCGCTGGGCCGTGTCCCTGTGCTGTGTCACTGTAGCCCTCTCTGCTGCTGCCCAGGCCCTGTTCACGCGCCTGCTGCTGCCGGAGCCCGGGAGCCACCTGATCCCCATGACGTGTGCCAGCAGCCAGAACCTGTCTGCCGACCGCGACGCCGGCGAGAGGCAGATCCTGCGCTACCTCTACGCCTGCTTCCGCCGGGCCCGCGAGGAGGTGGGCACGGCAGCCCCCCGCCCCGCCGCGCCCCGCCGCGCCCCGCCCGGGCTGCGTGACCCAGCTGCCTCGCTGTCCTTGCTCAGATCACCAAGGTCCCCGAGAACCTGCTGCCCTTCGCCGTGCGCTGCCGCAACCTGACGGTGTCCAACACCCGCACCGTGCTCCTCACCCCCGAGATCTACGTCAACCAGAACGTCTACGAGCAGCTGCTGGACCTGATGCTGGAGACGCTGCGAGGGGCACGTGAGTGTGGCCAGGTTGTGCCCCTGCCTCGGGGCTGCCAGGCTGCCCTGGAGCATCGTGCAGTTGGTGACTGTCATGGGGCACTGGCACTGTGCCAGCCTCACACCATGACAGTGACGCTTTGGCTCCCCTTGCTGCCAAAAGAGGGGCTGTGTTTGGGTCAGTTTGGTGTTGGAGCACTGTGAGTAACAGTACCCTTGTACCTCCTGCCAGAGTTTGAAGACATGACCGAGTTCCTCGAGGAGGTCATAGAGGCCTTAACGATGGACGAGGAGGTGCGCACCTTTGGGGAGGTCATGGTTCCTGTGTTTGACATTCTGCTGGGGAGAATCAAGGAGCTGGACCTCTGCCAGATCCTGCTGTACACGTACCTCGATGTGCTCCTCTACTTCACAAAGCAGAAGGACATAGCAAAGGTGGGTACCTTGGTTAGGCAGGAGCTTTTTGCAGGGGCACGTGTACTAGACCTGATCTGCAGAGGTCAAAGCAGCAGTGTGTGGTGTAACAACACCCAGGGTATGTAGTCATACCCCTCCTCTGCCTTCTTGTAGCGGTTTTGTGCTGGGATTTTGGACAACTGTCAGCATGTCCTGATGTGTTCCCCAGGTTTTTGCAGGCTACATCCAGCCCAAGGATCCCAGCAATGGACAGATGTACCAGAAGACTTTGCTTGGTGTTGTTTTAAATATCTCGTGCTTGTTGAAGACCCCTGGCGTGGTGGAGAACCATGGCTACTTTCTGAATCCATCCCGATCCAGCCCACAGGAGATTAAAGTGCAGGAGTCCAACATCCATCAGGTGGGAGAAGGGGGCAGTTCTGCTTCCTGCACTGTTAGTGGCCTCTCTTTGCCTGAGGGTTCAAAATGTGGTGTCAGGGCTTGAGTTCCACTGCTGGTTCAGGAATAGCCTGGCTTGCAGCTAGGCATGTCCCAAAACTGCTTTGAATTCTCCAGCTGGAGCATAGAAACAGTTTTGCCAGCTGCCTTGGGTGGTTGCAACCCAGGTCTTTGTGCCTTAACAAAGTTGCCTGAGCTTTTGGGAAAAGGGTGGGTGGTACTGGTGGAGCAGACATCAGTAAGTTGAGGTGCTACCTGGGGATCATCTACCTCAGGTTGCAGTCACCAGGGAGTGATTTTCAGTACCTGTCCTGTAATTAAAACACTAACTGATTCACCAGTTGAGAAAGTGACAGGCAACATTCTCTTTCATTATGCAAGTAAATTTCTTCCTTAGAGGAATACCACTAGGAAAGTTCCAGTAGGTCAGGAGTGAAACATGAGGACACAGGATATAAATACAGGGGTGAACTGGGGTGCAGAGGTCATCCCTGAGAAGGGCTTTCCCACTCGGGTTCTTTCGGCTGTCAAAAATAGGCGAAGAATTTTGGATTTACTCCGTATGAGAACAAATTGTCTCAGCTGTGCTTTTGAGGACGTCC